ATTTATATTGTGATGAGTCATATAATCACAGCTCTTGATCTATGCCAGGTGGTGCATCCTTAACCTGACATGTTGAAGTGATGACACTAAAGCTGTCCTGAGCTGTTGTCAATGATGGCTGGAGGACAAGGCAGGGCTTGTGGGAATGGTGCCACGTATTATATGGGTTTTGTGTGCAGCCTGTCATCTAACTAGTAGTAAACCAATATGATTTTCATTGGTTTGGGTTCAGAATCAGGACCTATGATCATACCACTGACAATACCTGAATGTAGACCAAAGCAAAAGGAGTGTCAAAATTGAGCATACAGTTCTCACAAGGATCTTGGCATGGCACGCCTTGAGTCAGCCACTGTTTGATAGCCCCAGTGGCAGTATCTGCTGACCAAATTTTGGTCTGTTAGCTCACTATTTCCAGCACTCTGAACCAGGGATGGTGATAAGACTGGGTTCTACTTCAGCTTTGTACAGTTGTGGTTTTCATCCAATAATCCTGGTTTTAGCTTTAGCTTGAGCCATTTTCCACAGCTGGCTTTGGCTTCAACTTCAAATATGTATTTTTAACTCTGGCTCTGCCTTACTGGGGTCTTAAACTGATGCCACCATGGAGTTTTGTCCCCTGCTGATGTGACTCTGCACAAACAGTCTTACCACCCTTACTACACCAGTACACCACAGCTTTTTCCAGGCTGCTACGCCAACATGGCCGCTCATTCTCAGGACCAATTAATGCCTGAATTCTGCCGGGAACGCGCACATACTAACACACAACACGAAGATGATTGGACGAAAAATATTAAGTAAGCACGCAAAACGGTAGCACCTCTTCTGAATCACAGCACCACACTCCTCTTGTGGTCTTGATTTGACTTCGCCCTCCGTCATCCCTGGCGATTTGGTTTTGGCTTCGTGTTGCCTAAGTTTATGGCTACTGACCTAAGCTTTGGCTCACGTTGTTGCTTTTTTTACTTGTTTGTATTTGGCTACGAGTCTACTGGATTTGAATTGGGAGTCGCAGTTTCAAACTTCAAAAACCGCCGGCCTCGTGTTCGACTTTGGCTTCATGGCATTGCTGTGACTCGAAGTTCGACTTCGAAGTCAGCAGCTGGGCCTCGCCCCACACCTGCTTAAAAGACACCTAGTTCAAAGTTTTGCACACGCCTTCGTGACGTGGTCAAAAACAATATATTCTGTATGGGGGTAACAACATGGGCCGCCCGCAATGCAGCTCAGGCCGCCACGTGAGCTGGGGTCATTAGCAGCCTCCATTTGGCCCGAGCTTTTCACTGATGGAATACTGCATTGGTGTCATCAATTGTCGCCATTGCAATAGCAACAGACTTCGGGCATCATGCACAATAACACACACACAATATCATGTGCATGATATGCATAATAGCAAATTGTTGAAAGTGCTCCTTGCCCCAATATGTCACGTCGCAACTCTATGTAAGCAGCTTCCCCTGTAGCAAGCCGAAATGGTGCGGCAAACATTATGGACCTCCCCCCCCCCCCCCCCCGTCTCGTCCTTACCCGTGTCGTAATTTATGAATAGCCTGCTTAGTTCAGTAAGATATGTGCTGATGCCTCTTAAAGGAGCAAATAATGTAGCTTTTTGACAGATTTGTTTATGTGATCCATGCCAGTCGGTGGACGTTTTGTGCAGACTTGACGAACACTACGTCTCCATGCCTCGAGTTGGCACTAGGATGCCTGTTTGTCCGAAAATGCGCCACGAAGAGGGAAGTCCGGGACCTTGAGTGTTGTCTAGCGCGGTGGTCCAGTGCGATGGCATAAATTGAGTATTGCTCTCCGTCGCTTCCTGGCACGGCGAAGACTTATAAGATGTAATGTGTCAGGTGAACATGCTGTTGGTTTTTCGCCAGGCATCTTTATTGTCGGCGCCAAGCGCACGCCCTTCGGAGCTTTCTGCGGCAAGCTGTCCAACAAGACCTGCACGGACCTACAGGAAGTGGCCGCCAGGGCGGCGCTACAGGCGGCTAAGGTCAAGCCGGAGCTTGTAGACTCTGTGGTCATCGGCAATGTTCTATCCGTAAGTAGAATGCAAATCATGCATTGATAAGAGTTTGGAAAATGTAAGGGCCATCATGATGTCTCCAAAGCTAAGGTGCAGTAATTGTGCATCAGATTTATTGGTGATCACAATGGATTTTTAAGACAGCCCAAATCCAATATAATTTTTTTTCCACTCCACTGTTTATTTTTTATAGTTAAACGTCAAACTTATTATTTTTTATGTGGAATGAGTATGAATAATGTGTCAAGTGCCCTGTTCGTCCATGGAAAACAAGCAGAGTGGTTATGACAATTGGTGAGCAGATCTGTTCGGAAGGGGCGCAGATCTGTGCAGAAGACTATGTCTTTTGTGCGAAGTTTAAGTATGGTTCGTTTATTCGTATGTGTGGATTTTAAAGACTGGTAGTTGTCAGATGGGATTCCTGCCGGATTTATCAATGTCATCGTCAAAATCATATTTGCGTTGATGACTACGGCGTATAGTATCAATCGCTTACTCTGTTTGGAATCGGAGGGGGGGGGGGGGCGGTACATCTTACTTCTACTTCACTGTGCAGAAATGTTGTCACGCCAAGTAAAGATTTTTAAGTTATGGGACTATTATAACTGGATCGACGGCATTAGGATGTTTGGAGTGCTGATGATTAGCACAAATGCCATCATAAAGCTCAGAGCAGTCATTAGAGGGGTCGGCGAGATGTGGTCCTCTTGTTTCATGGTTTCTGTTGATACGGAAAGTCCGCTCTACAATTAATTGACTTCCTAGAATTTGATGTACTTGGGAAAAAAGTTTTCATCTGCATCGTGTGGTTTAAATCGTTTTTGAAGCGCGCTTGAATCATAATGCTGAATTTCTCGTGTGGTGCGTTCCATGGTTGGAGGCGAAACAGAGGCGGCTGTCGTGATTCGAGTCCCTGACCTCTTGGACTGCACCGAGACCGTATCTCAAATTGCTCGCATCAGCTAAAGCCGATAGACCACCTCGCGCTCAGCGCTGCGAACGATAACAAACACCCGAATTCACGGACCATCGCGTTATCGAAGCCACCGTTACGTCCCTCCAAGCATACTTATCGCATACCGGCCTCGGGGTTATAATCATGGGCGTAAGAATGGGGGAGGGGAAGGGGCTCGTCAGTCCATTGGCGTCCTTTCTTTTTGAGAACGCTGAACATTGGCGCTGTGCCGCCACATGGAAGAGATCAACTTCAGATTTGGTTTGGTACGCCCACTTTCTGAGGCGTTCCTTTCCCTATGAGTGGAGTATGAGAGATGGTCACTATAATGGTCAGGTTTGTCAGATGACCAGCATCTTAGGTAAACACACGTCCTGCATTAAGATGTGATAAATGTGCTTAAATCTACAAACGTATGACTTGTTCAGAAGGTGCAAGCAGGACATGTTTTTTACTCAATCCAAACCCGTTGAAATGGACAGATTTCACGGGATTAGAGCTCGCGCGAGGCGATGCTTGTTGGGTGAGCCCTGACCCCGCCAGCCGATTGTGAAATTCCGTGCCAACTGCAGAATGTTGTGGTGAAAGCAACGCTCGGCACGTTCCTGACGTCACTTGGCCTTTGGCGCGGCCCAAGCCACCGGCCGCAGGCCGTCGTGACGCGAAAATGGTGAACGACTACGGCGATTCAAAATCGCCCCGCCGTGGGTGGACGAATCGGAAGATAGGCTCTATAACGAACTGGCCTATCGGGG